TTTCTTATTAATGCATATAATATCTTGTATGGCGTTTTGATTAATTATTTAATTTACGCTTTTTATTTTCATATTGTATAGTATGCACAGATATGTATATATTAAAATAAATGAACAAAACATTATAAATAATGAAAGAATTCAAAGGTTTCTGTTGAATATGCGGACTAAATATATTCTAGTACCTCATAATCGTAGTTCATTTGATTCGAAATGTTCAAATCAACCTCCAATGCAAAAGTCAACATAGAGTAACAAAGGAATGCCTAGAAGACCTCATTAGGATCGCTGTTTGCTTGGTCAGCCTTTTGCCTGGCACGAGCTAGCTTCGCTGACAACTCGGATGATCGAATTGTTTTGTACTGAAATATTAGCGTTATGAATAAAGTTGATATGCAAATATAGGGAAAACAACTGTACCTCGCAGAAGTTCTTCTGTAGTACAATCTGTGAAATGAGTCGTCGACTTTCGCGCTGCCCAAAGTAACTCTCGATGGTGTGAGGAGAGAGCGCAAATATTTCCTCGCCGCTTAGCGTGTGCAGTCGCTTGACAATATTGTCGGAAAAGCCTTTGCCGCGCAACCATTCCTCCACTTCCTTGGGCGTGGACCTCTGAGTAATAAATATTTCGGGCGTCTTCAGGATTTCAAGATCCCTGCGCTGCTGTCTCTGTTGCAGCAAGACCTTCAGCTCGTCGTTAACATCGCTCTGCATAAGGTAGGCTTCATCATCGGCATCGCAGTCGTTGCGAGCACGCATTGCTGTTTGAAGACCATGGTATATTAAACGATTTAGCTAAGAGTTGGGAAGTTCCCTTAGAACACACCTGCAAGGGTTCCAGCAGCGGCCATGTTTCGTTTGAGGGTCCCACTCGGAGTCGGCGTTTGACTATCAGTTGCCGGTGGCATAGGTGGAGGGATCGGCACATTGGGCATGGAGTAGGATCGCGGCATGTTCTTCGCATTCCCCACCGGTTGCTGTGACTCACGGTCCCCATTCGGCACGTACATTGCCATCGTGTTGCGGTAAATTGGATTCTTTACTTCGCCATCTCCGTTTTCCATAGTTTCAGAGGCCAGTGATTCATTGTCGCGCATGTTCCTATTAAGTACGGGATCAAAATTGAAAGGGATTAAGACGGTGTGTGGTACGTAACCAATGCTCCCTGAAGAGTTCCGTGCCTTCCACCAGTTTTTGGAGTCGTCAATTACCTGCATATGCCAAATAGAAAATTATGAACATTCCTACACACTCAATCGTAGAAGATAACAACTCACCTCCAAGTATTCGCCCTTCGCAACATTTAGTTCCTTATCATTGGTGGCCGTCTTATTATAAGCGACCTCTGCGATATTTACGTTGCGGCTCTGAAGGCGACTGAGCCAAGTGCGGTTGCTTGTTGGACTTAGGGGAACGCCCACTGGCGAGGACGTTGGTGTTTTCTTGAGCACAGGTGCCAAATACGCTACCGGCTCATCCACTACCCAGTCTGGTGACCAGTCGTCATAGAAAATGGGATGGTATTTCCCTACGTGATCCTTGAATTGATCTTTCGGGACTGTCCAATTCGGGCCCAGACTAAGCCAGAGACTTTTCTCATTGGAGTCCAGAGTGGCATTCAGATAACCAATCGTTTCTCGACGTAGCAGAGGATTAACAACGCTCTCCGGTAGATGGGTTCCAGCGTATACATCATTGCAGACATTCACAATCGTTTGCAGGGATATGAAAACATTGTGAATTGGATCAGCGGCTTTGCTAAAATGGTTCTGCAGTTTGACTGCAAAATTAAGTGCCAACTTGATTTTGGCTAGAATATCATAGAACTCGGTCTCGATAGGCGGACGTGATCGTAAGACCAGCAGGCCTTCCCCATGGGGGTTATGCTGATTCTTCCGAGACTCCAACTCATGCAGTGCTTCAGCTGCGTAGTGCAATCTCGCAATGAAACGCTCCACGTCTTCGCTGTATTAAAGAAATATATAAAAAAGATAAAGCAAGTTAGAGAGCTCAGTAAGTTACATTATATTAGCTTTTGAATAAAGTCTTAGAATCTGTAAATAGCGTTTTCCCGTCTCGATATTTCAGAGATCAGCGAACTGACTACTTTTTAGTTGTGGGTAGTAAGTAAAAATAAGCAAATTAACAATAAACAATGTTGAGCACAGGAGTACATACAAGCAGTGATTGATTACTTGGACATCTCGATCGGTTTGCTCGCGATCCTGGGCATTCTTCTCAGCGGCAATTCCAGCTACGGCTGCTGCGATGCCGTACTGATCCTTCGCCTGTTGGTTGCCGGGACGTTCGGGCTTGGGCAAGCGTATGGGTGTCTTGTTGCGGTCCACGGTGACGGGGGAGCCGCTGCTTAGCTTGCGCAGATCTTCCACCAAGTGCACCGCACTCACGTCAGTAACCTATAAGCTACAGTTAACAGGTCGAACATGTATTTCACTCAACTGACAACTCACTTGAAATATGTGCATTTCAGTATTGCCCAGCGAGATTCCCGGAACTGAGAATATTAAAATATTATTGTATGTCTCCAGTGGATCGTCACTTATAAAAGCGGTTGGCTCCGTTATTAGGCTGCCCGGAAAGTTTTCGATCTCTTTCATGTCTTTATTAAGCATCAGCAACCACTGGCCATTGAAGCACATAAACATCTTATGGGGCCAAATGCCCCCTGTCTTATCCAGCTCAATTAACAATTTCATTTTCTCCTTTGGCTGCTTCACCTCAGCCTCATTTTTCAATTTAAAGGTGACCAAATGATCTAATGCATATGTCGGCTTGCTATCGTCGTTCTCGTATCCTTCAGCGAACTTATCACTGGAATGAGCTCCATTTTCATACCCGTTTCGCAGCATACTACTAATAAATAAAGAGGGTATAAAAAAAAAAAACTATTTAGAGCACATACCTACTTGTATAAGAATAAAACTATTAATGATCTTACGGTATGCTACTATTCATGTGGTACCATGGGTTCAAATACCTCTATCAAGGAATGCATAACTTATATGGCACATAATTTCTTAACTCATAATGGCACAATCAAGGTCAATAATATTCTAAGCTATTCCGTGACTGTTTTATACCGTTTAAATATCCAATTCAGTAAACAACTATTTTAAGCATATCAATGAAACCTCCAGTCTTTTGAAGTTGAAATCAACTCAATTTATCGACTCGTATTGATAATTCAAAAATAGAATACGTTATCAAGAAAAAAATGATAAAGTCGGAATACATAAATATAAATTTAGAATTTAAGGCTCTAACAAACGAGACACTGGGGCTCGTGCTGAGATGGCTAGATCGATTTACCTCGTCGTCCTGGTCATAGTGTTCTCCTGCCAGTTGCACACACGTAAACAGAAAAGATCTGCTCTGAAGCCTATTTTTAAACGAATCAGACTGATTCTGAGGTTTTGATTGAACATCAAAACTTGACATAGTATTTACAGCTCCTGAGCGCAGTGTGAGGGCAAGAGCATTGACACGTCGGACATTGACGCCTATGGTAGGCAAACTAGTTGAAGGTAATTAGAAGCTTTCTCAGGATATTTATGAATAAATCAATCTAAATGCGACATAAATGTTTTTGATTTTTTTCAACTGAATATATTATTTGTCTATTTCTTTATCAGTTTAAAATATGTTTTTGATTATAACGCCTTGGTATCCTTGGTATAAAAATACATTGATGTTTATTAAGTTTTATTTGAAATGAGTATATGGATTTGTGCAATGTCCGTCTTACTGTCCGTATGAACGCAGTTTATTTCGGCGCTATTGAAGCTAGAGACTTGAAATT